AAAAGAAGGCAGAGAAATGAGGTTGAGGAGGAAATTGGGTTGAACTCTTGGGCCCCAAGAGGGTGAGAAGAAGCTGAGAGGGCACAAGAAGCTTCAAATCCTCTGGGTGTGCTGGGGAAGGGTTTGAATCCCATCCCATCCCACAGGGAGATGAAATGGACTCTCCGAAGGGTCTCAGAGGGAGGAGAAGGAGGAGGAGGAGGAAGGTACAACCTGCAGAGAAGAAAGATGAGGCTGAGGAGGAAACTGGGTTGAACTCCAGGGTAAAAGCAGGAGAAAATGGGACTTTCTTTGTCTCTGCAGCTGTTTCCTGGTGGGAAATAGCCAAGGAAACATGGCCCAAATTGAGGGTTTTTTATGTCAGGAGATGTTTGGGGTGAGGATCTGCAGGTGAGAGCAGCACTCAGTGCTCACAGGTGGGTTTGGCACCTTGGGGACTTTTCCCTTGGGCTCCAAGGGGTCGAAAAGAAGCTGAGAGGGCACAAGAAGCTTCAGAACCTCTGGGTGTGCTGGAGAAGGGTCTGAGTGTCCCATCCCATCCCACAGGAAGCTGAAACAGCTGGAAACCATCCTGGCAGATGTTCAGGATCCTGTAAACAACCTGATTACCATCCCAGGACAGAAGTGGGTCCTGGCACTGCCTTCCCTGGGCAGTGTCATCACAGCTGGCAAGTTCACCACACCCAACCCCTGGATTGGCCTCGGAGCTGCTAATTAACCCGATCAAGGTCAGATTTGGGGATCGATTGGGTCAATCCTCCTTGGAGAAGGTGGAAGCTCAACTGGTGTCAGCAGGAGCAGCAGCCACAGGACAAGGAGGCAGGAGGAGAATGGAGAAAACCACAGCAAAAGCACCAAAATTGGGATTACTCCAGGCTCAATCTCCTGCCCAGGGAGGGAAAGGTCTGGAGATGAGGTCAGGAAGGTCAAGGAAAGGGTTTTAAGGGATCATGGAATGTCCTGAGTTGGGTGGGAAAGGTCTGGAGATGAGGTCAGGAAGGTCAAGGAAAGGGTTTTAAGGGATCATGGAATGTCCTGAGTTGGG